ATGTTTGCTCTTCGGAACAGAAGAGGGCTGAGTCACAGAAGGGTGTGTCCCTCACTCTCTTGCAGGTACTTGAAGAGGAGCCATGGACATTGGGAGCATGAGGCAAAGGTGGAAAACCAAAGCTCTCTGCCCTGAGAACTCACCTAGCCACAGAAAACCAAAACAAAACAAAGAATACAAACCAGTTTATCTTGTAGGGAAAACATTTTTCCTACCTCTTTCATTAATTCCCAGTTGCTTGTTTGGAAAGAACCTTAGTTCACTTCTCATATGTTTCAGAACTATAGCTCCTTTTATTTTTCTATTTGTCAATTTCAAGTCCTTGTTGAGCCAAAGTAGCCGCAGATTAAATCTCAGTTGTTTGGGATTTTATCTTTACGCATTCCTGAGGTTGCGTGTAAATTTCACCTACCTCTATGGAGGAATAAGGGTTCTGGGTAAGGAGAGTATTTGGTTACTGACTCTCATAGGTGGTCATTGAAGCATCTCTTACTCTGTCCATGGTTACCTGGAAGCTTTAGACCTGGAGTTTCTATGTTAATTCTATGGTACACTTGCAGAGTAATAAACACAGAAGGGCATTGCTATTTAAGTAGGATGGGAGTTAAAGGGTAAGAATAACTTAAACTACCAGAAAGGAAAAAGAAAGTTACAAATTTTGTGTATTACAAGCTTGTGCTTTGGGGGAAAAATTAATTTCTTCCCTACTCTCCCAGATTTTTTTCTACCACTCATACTAAATCTTGTGGCTTCTCTGTTCCCCTGAAGGCATAATGTTGGAATGTAGGATAGCCAGCAGACAGGGACAGACGCTTCTGATGGTTTCTTGAAACTCAGTAAGGCACAGTCTGGGAGAACGACTAAGCATCTTATACACTGGAAAATGTGATAGTTTTCAAGTAGATATGAGGCTGCTACTTTTCTGGTGAATTTATTTTCAAGCAGGAACTAGTATTTTAATGCAGGTCCCTCTGAATCATGAATGCAAAACATCTAGACAAGGTGTTAGGTCAGACCTGCCGGAGCGGGGTTGTGCAATCCAGTGCTGCATGAAAGATACAAAGAATTGCACAGGAGTTAAATTAGAACATTTATTTAGAAAGTAAATGACAGAGAGAGAGAGAGAAGAGGAGATTCGCCTCAGAGGGGGCCAAAGCTTAGGAAAAAGAGCACATGGCCACACCAGAGTTTCAGGAAAGCAATGGTGAATGGCTGCTCCAGGTTGAATGCCTTTAAACATTCCCCTTTAAACTGGGCATGGTGGTTCATGCCTGTAATCCCAGCATGTTGGGAAGCTGAGACAAGAGGACTGCCTGAGCTCAGGGGTTCGAGACCAGCCTGAGCAACATGGGGAGACCGCATCTCTACAATAAATCAAAAAAATTAGCCGAATGTGATGGCACATGCCTGTAGTTCCAGCTACTTGGAAGGCTGAGGCGGAAGGATCGCCTGAGCCCAACAGGTCGAGGTTGCGGTGGCGGTGATTGTGCCACCGCACTCCAGCCTGGGCGACAGAGTAAGACTCCAATTCAAAAAAAAACAAAAAACAAAAAACATTCTCCTTTGAAGGGCCCATATCATTAAGGTGATTGGGTGGTGGTTTGCTCCACATCATCACAAAGGGGCAGGTAAGCACAGGTACTGACATCAGATGATGGACAGCGGGGTGGGTTAGTCACGTGACAGTTGCTGTGTTGATGAGATCTGTGTCATGAAGGTCATGAAGAGCTGATTAAGCTAACTGTTTATGAAACAAGCTGTGGTGGGTGTTGTAAAGCAATTATCAGTATCTACCTCTGAGAAACCAGTTCTGTCCTTGGCTAGTGATTAGATGGTAAATTAAAGTGAACTGCTAGAAAAATATGACAAAGCTAAGCAATGTTAAAATGGCTGTTCATTGGCTATGTTGATTCCATGTTACTTCCTTTCACAAGGACTCCCGAAAGATTTCAGTGGTGTTACACAGAAAGTATTCTAGTATAGCAATGTAGGGTTTGTTTCCAGTAGAGACTGCCCTCCAGAATCAATTCTGTTTTGGAAAAGATGCTGACCAGTATGTAGGACAGGTAGACAGAAGACGGATCCAGTTGTGTAAGTTCAGATCTGATCAACTGGGAGGATAAAGCAGGTTTTCAACTCAGGTTTCAGAAGATAGATAGACACTCATTTGTAAACCTATGCCCTCAAGTTGCAATCTCTTCCCAACAGTATAATATATATTATATATGTGGACAATTTAATAATAACCCATTCTCTAAAATATTTCTCATGAATACTACAAATGTTATTTTATATGCCAACCTTAAGCATAATTTTGCAACATGATCACCTTGGAATCATTCAATCTCTAAATTTAGCAAAGACAAGAAAGCAAGTTAACATTGTTTTATTGTATCCTGTATCTGTAAATATCACCTTACACATCCAATTTTTGTTTATTTTAACCTACCAAGTTTCTATAAAAGCAAAGCAACTTCTTTGAATAGCAAAGTTAAAGCTTTGTTTAAAACAATGCAAAACAAACCCCACTGCATTTTAGGCAAGTAACTGCTTCCTTATAAAAATAAGAAAAAAAAAAATCTGTACATTTACATACAAAATTCAAAATCATTCACCAGGGGAAAGAATGAGGGCTTTTAAAATATATTTTTTTTTCACACTAAAATAGCATCATTTTTACCTTACGTGTATAAGAAAAGAATAATACTAGCTGTGTCAAAGTCAAATACAATATAGAGACAAATCTCTAAAATTAAAACATTTCATTTGGGAGGAAAGAATTGCAATTCGGAGCACACATGCACACCAAGTGATCTTCAGTATGTCCAAGAAACAAAGAGAAGGATAGAGATTTTACAAAAAGGGAATGTTAGATATTGCTCTTTGGAAAGTTCATTGACACTAGTAAGGTCTTGGGGAGCTGTCAAGTTTTGATTGGCGAGAGAGGGCAGAAGGTAAAACACAAGGGTTGTTTCAATAGTTATTAGATATAACTGGCTTCAGGTTATAGCAGGCAATTTCAGCAACCAAGCTCACAGAGAATTGCATTCCTAGAGCGATGTCATGTGCCCGGAGTGCTTTTCCCCACTCCGGCTTTTGGACTATGCTTTAATTGGATATGATAAGATTGACCCAATTCATTTGGTCAACTTCCACACATGTTAAAAATGATTACATTAAAAGACTTTAAAAGGAAAATTATCCTCTTAAAAGTCTCAGTCTAAAAACCAGATTTTAGGAGCAAATTAGAAAACAGAAAATATAGAATCAAATCAGAATGTTAGGTACACATTTAATTGAAGATCTTCTTAGCGTCCTTTTACTTTCATGCATTTGAAATTCTTATTTCTTATATTATTTCAAAGTTTCTCATAAGAAAGCAAACTGATTAAAAATTAATTCACACTGAAGGATGATTGAAAATCTGGAGTATTTGCCATCTAAGGGAATTTCGGCTGGAGGTGCTGTTGACGATGTTGACAGACAGCTGAACACTCATACCAATGCCACTCTGAAACAGAGTGCACTCCAGTCCGGGCGACAGAGTGAGACTCCAACTCAAAAAAATAACAAATAAAAAAATAAAAATAAAAAAATAAAAAATAAAAAAATAAAAATAAAGACAGCACCTCACTCGATGCCTTCAATAAGATTTGCAAGAATTTCCCCCACGCAGCTCCCTCTAACCTGTAAACTCTGACAGGACATAGCTATTTGCCTTTAAACTTAAAAGATGTTGGCTGAAAAGAGAGGAAAAAAATGGTAACAGAGGATTTAATTTTAGCAGAGATAAGTTTTGAAAATTATTTAGTATTAGCTCCCACGAACACTACTTATCTCTGGAAACTTCCTGTCAAAAAGCAGGGATCCCTGCCTATGGTTAGTACTCCCCAGTTTGCTACTAACTTGTGGGTACAGAAATCATTAAATAGACTGTAAAGTAATCTACTGTTCTACCTGGTTTTCTTTCTGTCCCACAGAAACCAGAAAAGTTTAATTTGTTTACAATCTTAAATCACACAAATGGTCATGAACCATTTCCTGATATGCTCAGTTATCATGTAGCAAATAAGAACTAGGCCTAGGAAGCTCTCTCTTTTGTTAAGCCTGGATTTCTATTTTAGGACAAACAATATCCTGGCCTAATTTTAAATTATTTTGGTTGGGAGGGATGGCTCATGCTTGTAATCAAAATTTGGTAGGCTGAGGTGGGAAGATTGCTTGAGCCCAGGACTTTGAGACCAGCCCAGGCAACATAGCAAAACCTCATCTCTACAAAAAAATCATGAAAATTAGCTGAGTGTGGTGGTATGTGCCTGAAGTCTCAGCTACTCAGGAGGTAGGGAAAGGAGGATTGCTTGAGCCCAGGAGGTCGAGGCTGTGGTGAGCCATAATCATGCCATTGTACTTTAGTCTGGGTGACAGAGCAATACCCCTACTCAAAAAAAAAAAAAAAAAAATTACCATTTTTCTCTGTTTTCATTTCATCGATTAATAATTTTATACAAACTCAAATTTATTTCAAACTATACTGCTATAGAAAATTGTCACTCTATGGCTAGCTCAACAAATATTGCCTCCAAAGTCAAATAAAGAATTTGGAAAGAGGCGAGGGGAAAGGTTGGTCTTAATTCTTCATGAAGTGCAAAATTTTTAATTTAATTTAGTCTTAATCGTTTCTCTCTGAAATGTTTTTTTCTAATAGTGATACTTCATATTTCTTGTCTATTTTTTAAACTATAATTTCAGATGAATATGTGAAATTAGCATTGCTCAGCTGTTGTTGGACTAATATTTACCCAACATACTGATTAGAAAAATAACTGTAAAGAAAAGATCTTCTATGGACCTTAATTCCAATGCTGCAGCAAGAAATTTACTAGTCATCTATGTTAACATTTTACACTTCTTGAAAAAGATAAGCAACAACTTGCTTTAAAAATATAAATTGGTGAGTAGCATAATTCAAACTCGAAGAAAAGTCATCATATATATGATGGAATCAAACTTTACAATATTATTTTTTAATACCTCCAGAATGTCTGGCAAAGACCTGTCTAGCTGTGACACTGCGACATTATCTCTTTGTGCACGCTTCTGCTAATGTAATAAATTTGGGTTCCAAATTATTTAAAAAGTCAAGGCCATCTTCTTCCTGTTTCTCACTGCAGCAACCTACAGAACCAGCTGGAGAACCTTTTCCCTCATAGTTATATGTGAGGACATAATCTTGAGATGGTATGTGGTCTTCATTCTTATTACACAGATGCAGTTTCTGTAAAATTAAAAAAATAGATTGTATTATTGTTTTAAACAACTTAAACATATGAACATAAAATTTATTTTTTATTTACCTTTTATGTTTAATTTTTAACCAGTGTGTCCTCTAATGGATTCCTACACACAAAAAATGCACATGATTGGTCTATATCACAACCATACCATCAAGTCAGCATATTTTACATTTCTAGTAACCCATATAAACACTAAATTATGTATACAAATGTTATACTTAAGCACATCCAAGTTATTATTAAATGATTAATCCTAAATTCTATATCTAAAGATCAGGCTAGTCCACAAGATGGAGACAATAGGCACAGTGGTTAGGAATTTGGGATTGGATTCCAAACAGTCCTGGTTTTGAGTCAAAGCTATGGCTTTACTAACCAGCTCTATGACTTTGGGAAAATTACTAAACACCTTTAAGTCTTACTTTCCTCAGTGACCATCTCACAGGAAGACTTGGAAATTAATGATAAAATAATAGTGTATTAAAATACATTTAATGGTCGGGCCAGTGGCTCATGCCTATAATTCTAGCACTTTAAGAGGCCGAGGTGAGAGAATTGCCTGAGCTCACGGGTTCAAGACCAGCCTAAGCAAATTGTCAATACCTCATCTCTACAATAAATCAAAAAATTAGCCAGGCATGGTGGCGGGTGCTGTAATTCCAGCTACTTGGAAGGCTGAGGCAGAAGGATCACCTGAGCCCAGCAGGTCGAGGCTGTGGTGGTTGTGTGCATGCCACTGCACTCCAGCCTGGGCAATAGAGTGAGACTCCGACTTTTTAAAAAACACAAAAAACCCTTAAAATGTCCAGCACATATCCAATGTACAATAAATAGTAACTAGAGTCTCTATTGTACGCCATTATAATATAGGTAAAAATGACCACAGTTGCTTCAGAATCAAGTTTTCAAGGTAGTCAAAACATAGCAAAATAGAGAAATGCACAAAAAACTCAGTGAAATTAAAAATAATCAACATAACCCACATTGCAAAAACTGGACTTTTGTAATGAAGAGGCCAAGCATTTAGCCCTATCCACCCTCTCTGCTGGTGGGTGGTCTGCCAGCTTGTCAATTTCTGTGCCTCTTCCACTTCCTCACCTGTATGCCCACCTCTTCCCTATGCTGGAAGTCATTGGTATGGTTTATGTTAACAAGTGTTTTTCTTCATGGCCTTGTTAGCTTTACCTCCCAACACCTGATGTACAATTGAAGCACACACCTAAGAGTGTGTCTGAAGGTTCACTTCACCTCAACCTGATCTTACATGAATACTGACTGTCTAGAAATAAAAAAAAAAAGATTAACACTTGAATTAGCCAAAAAAAAAAAAAAAATACTATGGGTATATGATAACCTACAGCCCTATCCCAGAATATTGCCCATTTGCAGTCTATTCAAAGATTCAGGGCTTCTGGCCCAGTGTTTGTGCTACAATGGCATTCAGACCCTCTGTTAAAAGAGGTGAAAATTTAGTACCAAAGAATATCTAATTCAGGGCTCTCCAATGTACATTTGAATCACATGAGCTATTTTTTAAAAAGTCAAACTAATTAAATTAGAATTTTTTAGCATACTATATATATATATATATATATAGTATTTTACAAAAGTTTCCTAGAGAATTTTGATTTGGACATAGAATCCCTTATTTTAATTCCTACTTTCTTTCTTGTTTTCCTCGAAATAAAAACACTTTTTTTTTTTTTTGGCATGGCACTTTATGTAATAAAAATACTTCATGGAATAGCGACTATAGTTAATTATAATTTCCTGTAGATTTCAAAAATGCTAAGAGTACACTTCAAATGATCTCATCACAAAAAAGTAAATATTTGAGGTGATGGATAATTAATAAGCTTGTTTTCACTATTCCATATTGCACACATGTACAATAAAACCACTTTGTATCCCATAAACATAGATAATTATAACATTTTGATTTGCAATGATATAAAAATATATTTTGCATAAATCATGTTATTTAATCTTCATCCTCAAACTGCATACAGATGTTTGTGTTTTCATAGAGAAATATAGATAGGATTCAGGAAGTTTTGTGATTGTAAGGATCTAGAAATTTTTCCACATTCTTCTATACCAAACAGCGCTAATGAAATAAATACACATGTAAAAATTAAACCTTAGTGAAGAATATCCTTAGTAAAGGATATTAGAAACCTCTAATTTTTATGAGATTTTAGAAATTAAGTGAAATATGACAGATGAAATGAAATCCCTTTAAATGAAATAATATAACAAAATCAACAAGCACAGAAAAATGAAGTCAGAGCAAGCAAGAGAGAGGATATCAAAAAATATGGAAAGCAGTTTCTGAAACTATATGTTAATTTTAATTTCCTACGTTCTCCACGTGGACATTTAAAAACCTAAGAAAACTCACTTCACCGAGACGGGGTTGGGTGAAATTATGCCACTCCGAGTACGTGTATCGGCAGTTGTCCGTCTCCACGTGTCCTCCCCTGCAGGAATCCAGGGTGTGATGCTGCCCGACGCCCCGGCAGGATTCCAGAGTCTGATGTCCTCCCTTCACCATTTCAATGGTCTCCTGCCCTCCATTTTTCATTCCCGATCCCATGGTGCCACAAAAACCTTGGCTAGAGTTATTGGCAGTTTGGGTCATAAATCCATTGGCAGAACACTAAAATAAATAAAATAAAACCATCCATAGTGAGAGGAAATGGGTTCCAAGTAGTCACAAGAAGGCAAAGGAGAGAAAACATTTATTCAACATTTTACTCATTCATGCAACAGACATTTATCAGTTTCGAATTATGTGCCTAGATGCTCTTATTTCATGCTGCCATCACAGAATACCTGAGACTGGGTAATTTATAAAGAACAGAGATTTATTTCTTACAGCTCTGGAGCCTGGAAAGTCCAATGTCACAAGTGAGAGAGAGAAGAAAGAAAGAAGAAAAGAAAGAAGGGAGGAGGGAGGGAGGGAGGGAGGGCATAGGGGAGAGACGGAGGGGGATGTTGGAGAAGTTATAAAAAGGTCATAGAATTTTTTTTTAAAGGCCATGCTAAAAAAAAAAAAATGAGACTTATCATGAAGATTATGGGGACTATGAAGTATGTTAACTTATTACGGAGAGAAACACATTTTTAAAATATTATTCTAGGCAATAATGTAGAAGGCAAATAAGACAAATTTAGTGCCATGGAGATCAGATGGGGTCAATGAATCATTCCACGTGAAAAATGATAAGGACCTTGGCCAAGGTGAAAGCAGTGATATTTGAAAGAAGTGGCTGGACGGGCTCCATAGAGAGTCTAGTGGCTGAGAGGGCAAAGAGAAGAATTAGGAAATATTCTCTTATGTCCTACTTGGGTAATGAGATAGATGGTACAATTCACTGAAATAGAGAAGAAAGATGTGCTGTGGTCAAGAGGCGGGTGGGGAATTAAATTTTGGACATGTGGTCAGGCACGGTGGCTCACGCCTGTAATCCCAGCACTTTGGGAAGCTCAAGGGAGAGGATCACTTCAGCCCAGGAGTTTGAGACCAACATGGAAAACATAGTGAGACCCTGTCTCTACAAAAAAATTAAAAATTAGCCAGGCGTGGTGGCACACACTTGTAGCCCTAGCTACTTGAGAGGCTGAAGAGGAAGAATCGCCTGAGCCCAGGAGGTCAATGCTACAGTGAGGTACAACCATACCACTGCACTCCAGCCTGGAAGACAGAGGGAGACTCTGTCTCAAAAAAAAAATTGGGAGGATGTGATAAACTTTAGGAACATGTGGAATGTCCAAGATGAATATAGGAATTTAAAGACTAAAAGCTCAGGTGAGAGATCTGAGCTAAACGTATCATTCTGGGAGTCACTGCCAAATAGGTGCTGGTCTAAACTATGGGAATAGATGAGATATTCAGAGAAAACTGTAAACCAAAAGGCAAAAAAGGTTAAGGATAGAACCACAAGAAAAATCATTTAAGTGTGGATTAAAAAAATGTAGCTGTAACAGGATAGATCTGAATAACCACTAAGATGACAGAGGAAACCAGAGAGACAGGACTCTGAAGTCACACTGGGAGAATATGATAATGATATGAAGAATGTGGTCAATGACAGAACAAAATCAGAGCCAATAAAATGACTATCGGATTCAAGTAAGAGTGGCCATTGGCGACCTTTGTCAAAAGAAATTTCTTTCAAAAAGTTCAGTTTGAAAGAAAAACAGAGCTATGGAGGGAACTGGAGGAAGACAAAGAGTCAAGAAAATGCTTTAAAATTAAGAAGACTAGTCGGGCACAGTGGCTCACACCTACAATCCCAGCACTTAGGGAGGCCGAGGTGAAAGGATTGCCTGAGCCCATGGGTTCGAGACCAGCTGGGCAACTTCGTAAGACCTTATCTTTACAATAAATCAAGAAAAATTAGCCGAGCATGATGGTGCATGCCTATAGTTCCAGTTACTTGGGAGACTGAGGCAGAAGGATCACCTGGGCCCAGCAGGTCGAGGCTGTGGTGGCCATGATCGTGTCACTGCACTGCAGCCTGGGCAACAGAGTGAGACTCCAACTCAAAAAAATTCAATTGAATTAAGTTAAATTAAGTTAAATTAAATTAAAAGACTTGACTAAACATGAACTTAATATTGGCAAGTTACTCCAACCCTCTGGGCCACAGGACAGAAGTTTAGATAGGTGGTAATCTCAGCTTAACAGTTTTTCCTATAAGCTATTACATTACTTTCAGGACAGGAATCTATTACACTCAGGCTCCATTGTGCCCTCTTAAAATGCAGAGTCTCTGAACTGGAAGGTTCTCTAGGTCAGATGATTTATTAAACCTGAACTATATTCACAAAATTCATACATACTCTCATTGCCTTGGAAAAATATAACAGAAAAGAAAATTGAAAAGTAGCCATTTGGTGGCAGTGCTACTCTATGTTTTTATTTAGGTTGCTACTAGAGTTAAATGTGATTACCAACAAAAAATTCTGATTATTAACTTGGTAGCACAACTGATTATTACCTTGTCATGATAAATACATATTCAGAAATCATATTTCTAAGCTAATGAAAGAAGAATTAAAAATAAACTAAAATCAATACTGAGCACACAAGGCTAGCCTTCTTACTCTTTCTATTCTCTCTTCCTTTCTGCATATCTTCCATCTGCATTCCCCGAAGTTTATTCTCATGAGGTATTGACAAGTCCTTATTCATGTCAATAATTTCCAGATTTACTTTTCCAGTCCTGATTTTTCACCCAACTCCTAATCCCATGTGAATACCTGCCAATGAAACTCAGATCCAAAACTCAAATCATCACTTAAACTCATTGTATGAAAGTGAGTTTATATGTTCACTGTGAAATTTTAGTACAGTTTGTAAAAATTTGCCTAGAATTTTGTTCTTGTATAAATTTATAATGCCAAACCCTTTTTAGGAGTGCTTTTAAGAAAGAATAGGTACATATGGTGAAATAATCAATAAATACTGTCAGCTCTAGCATCAAATGGCAATGAACGAATATCAAATAAAGGTCATTCATTCCATTCTGAGATGTAAGATAAAAATGTACTGAGCTGAGAACTACCAAGGGAATAAAGCTATTTTCTGATGAAGGAGACAATCACATGTAGACATGTCAAGCATAGATGGGCTATAATTTTGCATGATAGTGGGGAAGAATTGAAAAGAGAAAAATAATAAACATGAAAGGCATCTTCACTCAGTGATATAGAAAAGACCAATATGCAGTCATTGCCCTTGGCTATAATCACTGCCACATTGCTTTGTTTTATTTATTTATTTATTTTCATGTTTTATTTTTGGTAGAGACAAGGTCTGGCTATGTTGCCCAGGCTGGTCTTGAACTCTTGGGCTCAAGCAATATGCCCAGTACTTAGTTTCCCAAAGTGCGTGAGCCACTGTGCCTGGCCAACCTCTGCCACTTTAACTCTGCTTTGTTCCTCAAGTTCAATGAGTCAACAACCTTAACATGTAAGCATTTAAAATATTTCTTATTCATCCTTAACATTACAATTACTGGCCGGGCACAGTGGCTCACACCTATAAACCCAGCACTTTGGGAGGCCAAGGTGAGAGGATTGCCTGAGTCTGCAGGTTTGAGACCAGGCAACTTGGTGAGCCCTCATCTCCACAATAAATAAAAAAATAAAAAAATTAGCCGGGCATGGTAGCAAGGACCTGTAGTTCCAACTACTTCAAAGGCTGAGGGGGAAAGATGGCCTGAGCCCAGCAGATCGAGGTTGCAGTGGCTGGGAGCGTGCCAGTGCATTCCAGCCTGGGGGACAGAGTGAGACTCCCAACTCAAAAAAAAAAAAAATTATAATTACTATCATCCTGATAGAATGATCTTAAGATATCAAAAGATCCTAAGCCTTCATCTTCTCTAACCCTAATGTATTTCTTGTCTCACTGACCCCCTACTAACTTAGCATCCCACTGCTTGCACCAGATCACTCTTGCAGAAAGGTCGTGACTGGCTCTCTGTTAGCAAAAGAAGAAATCTCAAACACACAAAACAACAAGCATAAAATCAAACGCCTCAGAAGTTCCAAGAAATATATAAGGAAAGAGAGTGGCAGTAATCTTCTAAGCTCCTCCTTTTTCTTTTATGTATATCTCATTGATATTTTCCTAGTTATCTTAAGAAACTTTATCGGGCTTTTTTTTTTTTTTCCTATTATAAATGGCCAAAGAGTTAGATAAATAATATCTGGAAATATACATTGTAGAAAGCAGCCAAAAAAATACTATTATAATAAAGTCACAACATCAAAGAACAGGCTTTAAGTCATAACACTGGAGAGTGGGGAAAAAAAAATAGTTAACACAATACATCTTGTTTAAGAGGTTTAATATATTACCACTATATAAACATCTGAATTTTGAAAGACAAAATTTATGACTAAAAAATCTGACCCAATTAAAAATGTTAACTCCTAGGCCGGATGCAGTGGCTCAAGTCTGTAATCCCAGCACTTTGGGAGGCTAAGGCAAGAGGATTGCCTGAGCCCAGGGGTTCAAGACCAGCCTGGGCAACTTGGTGAGACTTCGTCTCTACAATAAATCAAAAAATTTGCTCATCTCTACAATAAATCAAAAAATTTGCTGGGCATGGTAGCGTGCACCTGTGGTTCCAGCTACTTGGAAAGCTGAGACAGAAGGATCGCCTGAGTCCAGCATGTAGAGTCTGCGGTGGCCATGAGCATGCCACTGCATTCCAGCCTGGGTGACAGAGTGAGACTCCAACTCAAGAAAAAAAAAAAGTGACTCCTGAATTTTGAGATAAATTCATGAAGATTAGTTAAACAAATTATGGGAGATACAAACAATATATTTATCTAAAAAGTACTTACCACTCTATCATCTCCAGGTGCTTCTGTGTTTGATATAATTAAGTTTTGCTGTGCTAAATCTTCAGGAAAACGTTTCCCTTTACTTGTGCCAAATACTCCACATACTAAAGTTAGCAATACAGCTGAGTTAAAAAAAAAAAAAAAAAGCAACTTATTTTAACATATGTAGAATAAAATTATTATCATTTATTTCTTATGACCTAAGGATCACAATAGGAAAATAAAGCCACTAAGCATGACTTATGAATTATCTTAGCCCTTCTAAGCAAACAAGACACAATTTAGCTTATTTTAAAATTGAAAGCAATCATACATTTTTTAAATGTATCTAATTAAGAGTTTGAATTCTGCCAATCAAGGTAAATATTTAGAATCATGAGTAAAGTAGTGCATTAAAAAATAAAGTCACTGACATTTAAGAAAGATTTTTGAACAGATTTACTTATTTTATATAGTATGACCTGCCTATATAAAAACATGAAGGGGAAAAAAAAAAAGAACGCTTTTTCCCCAAAATAGATTTATCTTACTTGAACCCATTTTGTATCTTATCTATTCAGAATTTTTATTCTACAACATAATTTTGGGAGATTGAAAATATATGATCATTAAACTAACAATAATAACAACAACAACAATTCTTCCCAACAGTTTAAAAGACCATATTCCATGAATTGGCAAACTACTTCCCCAAATCCTGCTCACTGCCTATTTTTGTATGATCCAAGAATATCAAAAGAAGAATAATAGTTCATGACATTAAAAAATTACACAAAGCTCAAGTTTTATTGTCCATATATTAAATTCATTAGAACTAGCCATGCCCATTATTTATACATTTTCTATAGCTGCTTTCTTGCTTCAAGGGTAGATTTGATGGGTTACCGTGAAAAATACGTGACCTGCAAAGTTTAAAATATATACTATCTGGCCCTTTATAGAAAAAGTGTGTCAACTCTTGCCTACTTTACATGGCCTGTGGTACCTTTCTGGGTCCCTTTTCTAATCTTATATCCCCCATCCACTACTCTCCAGCTACACTGGTTTCCCCTGCCATTCCCTGGCTTCCCCAGACATAATCCCAAATTAGGGTCTGTGACTTTTCTGTATGATAGAAAACTCTTCCCCCAAATGTTCCACATGGCTGACTCTCACCTCTTTCAAAAATCGTCAAAGATAATCTTCTCAGGTCTGACCTATCTACTGAAAATTGCAGTCACTGGCACTAATACCCTCACATACACTCTATAGCAAAACAGCACTGCAGATTTGAATTCTTTTGCTCTTTTTTTCCCTCCATAACATTTATTTGTTTGTTTACAGTCAGAAAGCAGATTGGTTGCTTTTGTTTGTTTGTTTAGTTTTGTCTATTTGTTCACTGATGAATTCCAAGCACCTAGAGCAGTTTCTGGCCCACAGTAGATGTTCAATATATATCTGTTTTGTTGAGTTGATGAAAAATAATGACCATATTAGGAATTTGCCATACTGTTCTGAGCATTTCGCATTTATTAACTCAATTTAATCTTCAGTGTTACCTCCTACAGTAGGCTACTACAATCTTCCCCTTTTACACATGAGGAAACAAACACAGTTGAGTAACTTGCCCCAGGTCACACAGCTTACAAGTGATGATGCTGGGGTGCAAATCCAGGCAGTCTGGTTCCAGAGTCTTGCTATAAACCTCGACTCCCATCACAAAACAAAGTTAATCTAGGCTGGATGACTGAATGGAAGTAAACAAACAAACAAACAAACAAAAAATGGCACCATTGGGAACCACACAACGGGCAAGAAGGAGAGTCAAAGAACTCAAAATTGGCAAGAAATACCCAAGAAGAAATATGATTGTAAACTGACCATCTCTCATAAGTCTGTGGCTGAATGGTAAGAAGATACGGAACGGAAGAGGTTTTTCATGGACTTTCGCATGGCAGAAGTTTTAGACTGTTCTATTTTGTCCTATAAGGGACAGCATTGACACCAAGAAAGAAAAGCTGTTCATTTGACAGAGTCCTTGCAATCTAAGGGATTTTTAACAATTCTGTCCAAGTATAAAAATCTTTTATCTCAAGAAGGATCATGTTTTCTTTCACAGAAATAATTCTAATAGAAATCAGATCATAACTGTACAGGGACTCACCCTAAGGGATGCTTGGACAAGATTACGTTTTAAAGACCCTTCCCTGTACCAAAATCTTTTATTATACATTTTAACTTCAAGGAAGTGAAACTACTTACAAAATAGTAGCGCTATGCCCAGTAATATAGCGAGGATTGCCCACTTTCCAAGTATAATTCCTGCGCTCCTTGAAGCTGCTCGGCACTGACTTGGATGAGTACAATCACACAGGTTAACTCGCAAGGTTTTTGTTGCAGATTGACCTGCTCTATCTTTTACAGTAATAGGAATGGAATACTCTTGAAATTCAGCATTTTTACGATATGAAAGACGGGCTGCTGTATCTGAAAGAAATTAAAAGAAATTTACTTTTTAATCACCATATATTCCTCTCTTGGCCTCTGTTTCACCACACTTGACTTTTTTGTTGTTGTTGTTTTGTTTGTTTTTATTTATTTTAAAGATGCAGAGTTCAAGTCAAGATTAGGTAGATAAGATGTCATTGTACAGGTAAAGTCTAGGCCTCCTTCGGATCCCATTTTGCCTGGTTTGAGAGCAGATACCCTTATTGATGTCATGTGCCATCCTCCTCCACCCTACCCTACCTCGCCCCCAGCAGCATTCTGCTACTGCTAAACCTTTTCTTATAGTATTATGACAAATGTTTAGGGTCTGCTTATCATACTCAATGATCTATCACAGAAACAAAAAGCTGAGTACCACATGTTCACACTTGTTTTTAAAGACATAATTCTCAAGGAACCATCTGCCAGATGACAATAAATAAAACTGGAGAACTATCTTCAACCTTTGGAAGCACTAACATTAACTTACACGAGTGTTGCCCCTTGTAACTCTTTAGAAGAAAGCTCTAAAGAAATAATTTGGGCCAGACGCAGTGGCTCAAGCCTGTAATCCCAGCACTTTGGGAAGCAAAGACAAGGGGATTGCGTGAGCTCAGGGATTCGAGACCAGCCTGAGCAACATGGCGAGACCTCATCTCTACAATAAATCAAAAAATGAACCGGGTGTGGTGGCACATGCCCATGGTTCCAGCTACTTGGAAGGCTGAGGCAGAAGGATCACCTGAGTCCAGTAGGTCGAGGATGCTGTGGCTGTGAGCATTGTACTCCAGTCTGGGCAAGAGAGTGAGACTCCGACTCAAAAAAAAGAAGTAATTTGGCATTGGGGTGACCCAAGAACATTCCAGCAATATTTAACATTCTTTATTTATACAAACTAGTAAGGCTTAGTTGACCATTTTTCTTTAATACCAATTTACAGACATAATGTGGTCAGTACTACTGTGGTCACAATAGTGTATAAAGAATTAACACTTTTAGGTACACACAAAGGGTGTCTGAAGTTCTCATTCTCTTATCCATTGACCTTCTGGTATCTGTCCATTATTCTTATGGGTAAGGTAATTTTTCAAAGCATAATAGATTCTTTATTATTAATGCCTCACATCTGGAAGTAATCTCAATACCAGAAAGCTAGTTAATGTCACTCAGACTACTTGCAAGGCTTACACAAAAACAGATATGCCCATATCATAACAATTCATTTTTATCAACTATCATAGTCAATTTCCCACAATAGTCTTAATACACTATTTTAATGACCTTATTATTGACTGATCAAAAGCTCTGCAGACTTTCAATGACAATTACAATCTCCTTGAGATTTTTTAATAGGCTAAATAAAATGACAAAGTGACATAATGTATATCCTGAAAGTCATGTGGAATTTCTAAGCCTTGATTAAATGCACTGTTGTAGCTGTAAGAACTTCAAAGATTGTGGCTGCACCGCATCCTGAAAGCTCCCCAGAGGAATATGAATTACTACTTAAGCTTATTTAGTACCGTTCAAAACCATGGTATAAGATCCTTCAAGTCCCTCTCCTCTGTCAAGATCACAAGCAGAGCCATAGTCAAGTCTTATTCACAGTGATGCACCAGCCTCCGATTTTCTTTAACTCAACTTTGTCCTCATCAATCTGTCTTCCTATCATCAATGCCAACTTATTATTATTATTATTATTATTATTATTATTATTATTGAGTTAGAGTTTCACTCTGTCACCCAGGCTGGAAGGCAGTGGCACGTTTATGGCCACCTCAGCCTCAACCTGCTGGGCTTAGGCGATTCTTACACCTCAGCCTTCCAAGTAGCTGGAACTACAGGCATGCATCACCATGTCCAGTTAATTTTTTGATTTATTGTAGAGATGAGGTCTTGCCAAGTTACCCAAGCTGGTCTCAAACCTGCCGGCTGAGGCAATCTTCTCACCTCAACCTCCCAAAGTGCTGGGATTATAGGCACAAGCCACCACACCCAGCCACCAATGTCACCTTTAAAAGATATAAATCTGGGAATGGCATTGCCTGACTTGCACATTCCCAATGCATGCCTGTTTGTCATCTACTGTCCCAAGGTCAGTGTCCTCAGCCTGGTACATAAGACCCTTTGCCACCAGATTCCACCCTTTCTCTCAAACTCTGTGTTCTTACTAAAAAATTCTAAACTCCAACGACACTGATGTAATTATTCTCCTAGCATGTTTTGCCTTTTATGCATATTATTAATCAATTATTGATTAAACAAACATTTACTACACAGTTAGAATCTACTAAGCACTGCTGAGTTAAATGCTGGAAATACAAAGATGGGTCACAAATGTTCAAGAAACTCATGTATTGGAAGAAAGAGGGACTCAGTTGTTAATACATCATGAAAGTCGCTACAGTGTGGGTAGTAGCAAAAGGTCATGGGTCACTCCTTCCACATCAAGAAAAACTCCAGAGCTTGAGCATCTGAGCTGGGTTTGTACCTGTCTTGTTCATCTTTATACAAATTCTCAGAATCTGGAGGATGGTAGGTGCCCATAAATATTAATAATTGATAGCAAGCTAAGAAATGGGAAAGGAGGTATAAGTAGAAAGGGGAGCATACACATGAAATAGCATGATGTGGTAAAACAACAGAGTGAAAAAATGAAATACAGAATACTACGCCTCCTGGAAACTGCTATCGTAGGACACAGTCCCTGAAGGTCCTAGCACCAGGCCTTTCCCATATCCCACCATGCTGACTTCCAAGATACCACAGAGTGTTCAGCCCGTACACCTGGGTTTCTAACTTCCAGAGTCAGATTACAATACAATTTAAACTACACATCTTCTGGTTTCTCCTCACCTCACTGGTATTACTTTAAAAACTCACAACAGCTGGGTGTGGTGGCTCAAGCCTGTAATCCCAACATTTTGGGAGGCTGAGGCAAGAGGACTGCCTGAGTCCAAGGGCTCGAGACCAGCCTGGGCAACTTGGTGAGACCTTGTCTCTACAATAAATCAAAAAATTAGCTGGACGTGGTGGCACATGCCTATGGTTCCAGCTACTTGGAAGGCTGAGGCAGAAGGATCACCTGAGTCCAGCAGGTAGAGGCTGTGGTGGCTGCGAGCATACCACTGCCCTCCAACCTAGGTGACAGAGTGAGACTCCGACTCAAAAATAAAATTTAAAAAAACACACACAACAAAAAAAGTTTGTCTTACTGATGAACTGCTCGATATTTCAACAAAGATTTTCTGTCTTTGTTGCAAATGTAAATTTTGCCTTCATAAAAATGATGATTTCCTTCTTTTTATATATAATATACAACACAGCCCCCATGCAATATTTATACAAGGTTGATTTAGTCTTCTAAAATATATTAATGAGAATCAATTTTACTTGATGCTTTGTGTAAGCCAAGTAAATCCATTCTCTAGTTAGTCTTAGTTATTTCAGAGTATGAACTTTTTTTAAATTAAATACCATTAACTCTGGTGAGGGTCCATATTCTATCGACTTCTGAAGAAGTGTCTGACAAACTGAAATAAAATGGAGCTCCATGTTCAGGTTCATCTGGATCAACAGCCAAAATGTCAGAATACCCCATCTTTGGTTTGCAAATTGTGAGATAATCTTGAAGTATTTCTGGTGGATTATCATTCACATCTTCAATGGTCACGACGAGTGTTCCCGTACATGACTTACTATCTGAGAAGAAAGCAGTAAGGTTTAGCATTATTTGTAAATTCTTTTATAGCTTATTAAGGAGGAGAAAGTCAATATATGTGATATATGATTTTTTAAAAATAAACTCTGATTATTAGAGGAAATAGTAAGTAGATAAGAATATGGATGATATATGAAAAAAATCTGCACATCATCTAAAATAATTACTGTTGTCAATATCACACACAATTGCCAATATACTTAAACAACAAAATAACAAAAATAAATGTCTGAATTTCCTTGGGTTCCTGGAAATTGTTAACGCACAATAAAGCAGCTATAGAAAAGATATTCTACCACCTATGGAGGATTTTTTGTTTTTGTTTTTGTTTTGTTTTTTAATATATGATACTCAACCAGAGATTCATTTAGTTTAAGGTAGTATTTACCAATTGATATTTTTATTTTAACATGAAGATGGTTGAGAAACTCTGGGTTACTTTAAAAAGTAGAATTCAAGGAAAAAAATCATTTTAACATAATAATCAGCTGAATAATTTAAAGTCTCAACTTAAAAATAACACAAAGAAATGTGGAAGAGTCTGTCAGTACCATTTTATCTAGATCTAGATTTAAATTTTATCTTTGACCTCTAACACAGAGATATTTTAGCATTTAAGGTTCTACCATGCTAAGGACATAAAGATAAATAAAACATGGCTTCTTGTCACCCAGCGGTTTCACCTTTTTAGATAGTTATTAACTATAGATAATAATATATAATAATTATTTTTATTAGAAGCAGAGTCTTCAATTTAATTTCACATGAGAGAGGACACAAAAAAACCCAGATTTATTTATTAAAAATTATGTATTTATTCTTACATGCTTAAACTTCAAGCATCTTCAAAGTACTGTGTTTGATGCAATGTACCTATCAAGATGTTTTTCCCACTACTCAAAACAGTTTTTGAACTCATTAGTGTTGATGTTTTTTAGGGCTTCTGCTGTTGTTTGTTTCACCATTTCCACATCGGCAAAATGTTTCCCTTTGAGAACTCTTTTAATCCCAGGAAACCAAAAATAAGTTGTTTGGGGCAAGATTGGGTGAATAGGGAGGGTGGGATACAGACAGGGTCCATGCTGTTTTTGATCAGAAACTGCTGAACACTGAGTGTAGTGTGAACAGGTACACTGTCATGGTAGAAGAACCAGTCACCTGCTTGCAACAACTTGAGATGTTTCTTCCGCAAACTGTGACACAACCTTCTCAAAATTTCCTGATTAAAAACTTTGGTTGACTGTTTGATCCAGAGGAACAAATTCCAAGTATACTGCAAGGAACCTGCCCTCCAAAAGATAATTCTAGTTTTTTCGGGGGGGGGTATCTCCCCTCATATTTATCACAAGAGTAATTTTGCATAAGAATACTTGCACTCTATTCTCCAATTTCTTTATAAAATACCAGGTTAAGACTTTTTTTTTTTTACCTTGGTCTATTGCCAGGACTGTAATATTATATAAGCCATTTTGGGGAGTTATGGCCTCCCTGTCCAGGGCTCTGGAAGTTATGATAGATCCCGAAGTTTCATCAATGCTGATCCACCCTTTAGGATCATGCAATTTTTTGTACCTGTTAATAAAAAATAAAAATAATCTTTAGCATTATAAAATGCTTTAAAATAATTACATCTCAATTATTCCAAATAAATTATTAATATGTGGTTATAGATTTCTTTGTACCTTAAACCTCTGCTACTTTTGGTTTCAGGGTCATATGCTTGATAGCCATTGATCCTGGACCCCACTTCAGAGTTTTCTTTAATCCGTACATACTGGGCGGCAGGGTTGCATTCAGGCCCCTCATCCTGATCCCTCACATGAACTGTCACCAGGGCTCTGTTCATCGCTGTCACTCTGGGAATATCTCTAGTAAATGGGGCTTCATTGCTTATTCCAATTTCCAGGTTCACTTGACGGTTTTCTTCGTAATTCAGTGGCTTTACAAATAAAATATGTGTATATCAGCATCAGTGTAGCATACATTTGGCATTTCAAACAGCAAGTGAACATGTTTCACTGCGAACAGTGCTGCATAATTTCTTTGCTCACAGTTTGTGACCTTTGACCTTTGTCCCTGGCTTTTTAGAGTCAGTCCTGTGCTCAGCCTCAAGCAAGAGTGGCTTAAAAGTTTCAGCAAGTAGTTTCCCAGAGTTGTGAGAAAGAAATTCCTGAAATATTTTTATATTTCACAATTACTAAGGAAAATTATCTTGATTCTAAAAATAATGCAAAAAGATGACATTGCCTTTATGGCTTGTTTAGAGCACTGTTTAAGGGGCTAGCCCATGAATCATCTGAGGAGGGAGAGACACCTTTCTTTGATTTACTGTTTACTATTGACTATGGCCCAGACGCTTTACAACTCTTGCAAAGTTAGATGTTGACTTTAGCAACACTGAAAAGGTGCACTGATTCAATCTTCTGCCTGATAGAAAAGATATTACAAATGCCTGTTTTAATTACCCTATAAGACATCTAACTGAGACATCTCATTTCCGCTTTTCCTTTCATCAAAATCCATCCACTCTCATTTTTTCCTTAGGAATCTACTTTGTCTTTTCTGCCAAATCCTTTATAAGTGAGTTGTATAAAACTTTGATGCATGTCTTCAACTTATTTTTATGAATATTACAATTTGGACAACTTGGGAATCATACTTTGACACTGTCCATAATTTATCCAATGAAACTTTCATTGTGGATACACAGAGGATTAAGAGAAATATAATGTGTTCAATTTTGATCATCATTAAATATATAGCACTGCTCTGAGTAGTGAGCATACACTCATTGAATCATCACATCATTATGAATACTTATTATTATCATCAGCCTTGTTTTTCAGAGCAGAAAACTGGAGAAGAGATAAAAAGATTTTTCTTAAGGTCAAAAAATATTCATTTGAGAAGAGACTGAAGACATGGAGTCTGACCTGAGTCCATTTCCTTAATCACCACTACAGCCCCTTGGCTATACTGTACTGCTTATTTGAAATATCAGCCTCTAAAAATTTTTAAATCAATCTTTGATTAAAATTGATCTTTAGACAGTAAATCAAGCAAAACCCATAAAACACTATTTTACACAGTACTATAAAGTTGGAGCACTTCATTAAAACTTCTCTTTCTGCTTATCAAAATAATCACTAGCTAAACATTGGGCACAATCAAAACTGGTAAATGAAATTGTTTTAAACCCTATTGGGAATATACCCAGAGGAACTCAAGTCATTCTACCATAAAGATACCTGCACACCCATGTTTACTGCAGCTCTATTCACAATATTCAAAAACATGGAACCAAACACACAGCCCATCGAAGCTGAACTGGATAAAAAAATGTGGTACATATACACAATGGAATATTATGCAACCATAAAGAAGGACAAACATATGAACTTCACAGCAACTTGGATGGATTTAGAGTCTATCATACTCAGTGATCTATCACAGAAACAAAGAACTGAGTACCATATGCTCTCACTCATAAGCGGAACTTGAACAATTATCATAATACTATAAGTAAGCGATTGGCAGTAGTGGGAAACTGCCGGGGGAGGGAGGGACACACCTCATCAACAAGGATACCTGCATAATGAACATTTGTATATCTAACCTGAATAGTATCCCACATCTTCAAAATAAAAAATAAAATAAACTATTTTAAACCTTTCCCCACATTGAGGAATTAACACATTGAGATACAAATATGAGCCTGCTAAGAAGTCAAGAAAATTCCTGAATCTTAAAATGCATGTGATTTTATTTGTTATGAATATTCCAGGAGCTGGAGGGTCAAGAGAAAAAAAAGTATCAATATTTGCATATCTGATGCTGATGAACACTGTTTTGCAAATTTCACATGACAGTACGATCCTGTGGAGAGAAAGAGCAACTGTTGGCAATGAGAAATGGATAGAAATTCGAGGAACAGCTGCTGCACTGGAGGGGGTGCAAATATTCAATCTAGGGCCATTTGCTAATGCTTTCATGTTTCTTTGTGCCATTTTTCAAGGCTTAAGATGAATATTGCCTTAGAGGCTTACAATTCTGCAAGATTAAAAATCTGGTGAGATGATTTCAATTCTTATGATTAATGAATGTGTATAAATGCTCTTCCACCTCAGAGCACATTTTTGTTTCATCGTTCAAAAATATCCCAAATCTGCAGAGATATGAATAGCTCCCTCAAAAATGTATGGTTGTGGAGATAAAGCTGAGGACGCTTTGTGCTGAAAACAACCAAGAATATTATCATCCTCCCTCAAGCCCATAGGCACCACTGAAATGGACAGAACCCACTGAGATGGGAAAATTACCCAGGACTCAACTGAAGGCTCTATGGTTACAGAAAAATCATTTATTACGGAAAACTGTAACACTAGTCCCAAGAATGTAGCAGCACTTTCTAAAATAAAATAATATCTACAGTTCACAAAATGCTTTTACTATAGTTATTATATTTGAATAGCTATTAGAAGAATTATTCCCATTTTACAAGTAATCTAGAGCCATGGTCCCCAACCCCCGACCACCAGTCCATGGCCAGTTAGGAATTGGGCTGCACAGAAGGAGGGGAGCGGCAAGTGAGGGAGCAAAGCTTCATCTGTATTTACAGCTGCTCCCCATCACTCGCATTACCACCTGAGCTCTGCCTCCTTTCAGATCAATGATGGCATTAGATTCTCATAGGTGCTCAAACCCTTTTGTGAACTGCACATGCAAGGGATCTAGGTTGCACGCTCCTTATGAGAATCTAATGCCTGATGATCTGAGGCGGAGCTGAGACGGTGATGCTAGCGCTGGGGAGTGGCTGCAAATACAGATTAACATTAGCAGTGAGGTTTGACTGCACAGAGACCATAATAAATCAACTGTTTGCAGACTCATATAAAAACCCTATCAGTGATTAGCAAGTGAGTTGATGTACTTCAATAGTACAGCTGCACCTGGTGGCAGGATTTAAGTCAGAATTCGACACTTATTTTAGTGCTGTGCATGGATACACTGTTATTTTATTAAATACTTCTGTCCACGCCTCTTTCCTGCACTGCACAGTTTTGGTAAGCCCATACGCTAATTCTAACCAAAATGAGTAAAAACAAACGCCACTGGAGAGCTTCTTTGAGAAGGAGGAAAGACCCAATGATGACACAGCAGAAGACTCTAAGACTGCCAACAGAAAGAAAGCTGCATTTAAAAGAAAATACCAAGAGTCCTACTTAAACTACGGGTTCATTGCAACAGATGATTCACATTCTCCAAGTCCGCTTGGTATAATATGTGGCAACTGGCTATCCACTGAAGTCATAAAACCTTCAAAACTGCTTCACCACATGGAGACCAAGCACCCTGCTTCAGAAGACCAAAAAAAAAAAAAAAAAAATGAACATGAAGAACAGAGGCAATAATTGAAGGCCATCACTTCATCAAATGTGTCTGCATGAGACCATCATTCTTAGTGGTTAACCACATTGCTAAAGCTAAGAAGCCCTTTACTATTTATTGGTGAAGAGTTGATCCTGCCTGCTGCTAAGGACACTTGCCATGAACATTTTTTGAGTCAGTCTCACTCCATCACCCAGGCTGGAGTGCAGTAGTATGCTCATGGCTACCCCAGCTCCGATGTGCTGGGCTCAGGTGATCCTTCTGCCTCAGTCGTCCAAGCAGCCAAAACTACAAGAGCGCATTACCACGCCAGGCGAATTTTTAGGTTTTACTGTAGAGACAAGGTCTCATCAAGCTTCCCAGGCTGGTCTCAGACCCCTGGGCTCAGGCAGTCCTCTCATCTTGGCCTCCCCAACTGCTGGGATTACAGGCTTGAACCACCACACCCAGCCTTGCCATGAATTTTTAGGAAAGACTGCAGTTCAAAAGGTGGCACATGTACCTCTTTCGACTAGCATCAGAACTAGGCAAATTGAAGATACTGATGATATTGTTAGAGAGGATTAATGGGTCACAGTACTACGCAATCTAGGTTGACAAATCTATCATCGTTGACAACAAAGCATCAACGTTTGTTTTTGTGCACTATATTTTTAGGAGAATGTACATGAGGATGCATTATGTGTGTTTTTGTTGCCAACCAATACCACAGCTACAGAACTATTCAAGTCTTTGAATGATTACATATCAGAAAAGCTGAATTGGTCATTTTGTGTCAGTATATGCATGGACGAAGTGGCTGCCGTGACTAGACAGCTTCCGCTTTCACTACTTGAATCAAAGAGGTTACTTCCAAATATAAGTCTACGCACTGTGTCATCCATACAGAAATGTTGGCTAGCCAAAAAATGTCACCTGAAATTCACAACACTTTGCAGGATGTGATTAAAATTATCAACAACATTAAAGTGCATGCCCTTAACTCATGTTTGTTCATGTAGCTCTGTGAGGAGATGGATGCAGAGCACACACATTCTTTTATACACAGAAGTGAGACGGCTTTCTAAAGGTAGATGACTAGCCAGAATTTCTGAGTTATAAGAGCCATTTCAGAGATTTCTTTGAGAAAAACAGTCACCACTGGCGCACATCTCAGTGACACAGAATGGGTTGCAAAACTTGCTTACTTGTGTGACATTCAACCTACTCAGCAAATTCAATCTGTTACTTCAGGGGAGAACGAAAACTGTGTTCATGTCAGCAGATAAAGTAGCTACAGTGAACATTGGGATTTTTGACATGTTTCAAACATTAGCAGAGATTTTGAAAGAGACTGAGCTAGGGCCTTCTTTCTCCCAGCTGGTGCAGGATCACCTAGCTCAGCTTTCAAAAGTTTGAGCATTACTTCCCAACCACAAAAGATTCCCGAACTGGGAAGGAATGGATCTGCAACCCATTTGTGAATAAGCCAGGTGAACAGACTTTGTCCTTGCAGAAGAGGATCAACTGCTTGAGATCGCAAATCACGGTGGCCTTAAAAGTATGTTTGAG